ATATATTTCTTCCTGTTTATGCAGGAACATACCAGTTGTACAGGCATGGATAAGTTATTATATAAATTACACATAATTTGATGTATGATGAATTTACAGTTTGGTTGTCCTTTCTGACATTAGAGTCAGTCGGAACAGTCTGCTATAAAGTCTGTTTGTGTAGCACATAAAGAGATATAGAAATATCGTCTTCGCATTAACAAAAAACCCAGACATCAGGTGAATGTAATACAGATATCTGGGAAAAATAAAGCTTGAAGTCAATTCTCTTATATAACTTTGTTGTGAACAGCACCCTTGGCTTAAAGTTTATTGATGTATTATGTTGAGATCAGTGATATATTTATTCCATTTTTCAGTAGTCTTATCGTAGTTTCATAAAAGGAAAGAAATTTGTTCGTGGATACGAAAGCTAGTCTCAATGGAGTTGAAGATGGAACGATCAATTCTTCGTTGTTTGCTCAAACCAACTTCCCCAATTTTCGCGGAGAAATCAATACGACAGTCATCGTCTCATCGGTTGCTGTTCAGAAATAAGTCAGTAAAAAACCATCAGAAGTAATCTTATGATTTATTATTGTAATATTTGTTCACAGACCTTAATTCAATTATCATTTTTATATGTTGGTGTAACAATAAAGAATTCTCAAGCGGCCAATCGGTGTTTTGGTTTTTTTCGTCCGTTAGAACTAAGCGTCTCTGAAAAACTTCAAGGAACAGCGTGGGCACGAGCGTAGCAAGAGCTGGGCATTAACGGTTTATGAGACTTGGCTGACAGTTTCTGATGGTAGAAACAGACTTTGGCGGATTCAGACAGTTGGTGAAAGATTGGATAGTCACCGTTCATCTTTCCTGGTGCCGGTCAAGTCCTCTTTGAACAAGCAATATCTGGAACGTTTTTGGAATTGGGTCAAGTTCAACAATGCCTGGGTCAAAGAAGGGACAGAGTGTCTTGGATGCAAACAGGAAAGTAAGTCATGGTGACTTGTCTGTTAATTGTAACGATGTGTCTGATGTTAAGCATGACATGGTTGTCTCTGTCTGTCTGTTTTCGACATAGAACTTTGCACAAATGCGCGGAAGTTCAAGTCGCCACATTCCGTGTAGCACGCGAAGAAAGAGAAGAAAGTGCAAGAAAAGCATAATAGAAACAGTGAGCAGAGGTGTGAGACAAAGGAGTAGTAATAACGAAGAACAAAACAGTTTCATTGAAGATCATAAGTCACAGGGAGTGGATGCATCTGCGCCACTGAGAACGGTTTTGAGCCATGTCACCAATTGTTTCCAACCATGGATTTTTACCGTCCCGAGGACCCCAGCCTGAGAGTCTACACCTTTCTACGTGGCTTAGACCAACTATTGTGGTTGATGTTACTGTTTCGCCGTTCAGAGATAATAGAAACATCAAACTCCCTAAATTTGAACCACGGTGTTTCGACAGAAACCCGGCTGATTATTTACCATTTGTAAAGGAGTTTGAGATCATGCTGAGTAGTTTTTTATTAAGTGATGAATTGAAATTGATGTATTTGATGAGGTATTGCACTGGAGATGCTTCAAGAGCTATACAGTGCTGTAAGCTCATGCCCCCTAATGAGGGATACGCTGAGGCTATGAGCATATTACGTCAAAGGTTTGGAAGACCTTCAATGATTGTAAGGAACGTATACGAAGCTGTCAAAGGTAACGGCAGTCAACTTCAAGATGACTCCAAGGCACTTACTGAGTTTTTAGATAATCTTATGACTTATAAGAATACCTTGATTTCTATGAATTGCATGAGTGACCTCAACTCGAGCTCAGTCCTAGAGGTAATTGCGAGACGCCTATCTACTCGGCTGCAAAGGAAGTGGGTAAAAATAAGCTCTCGTATAGAGGAGGAGGGTATCGAGCCAAGGTTTGATGATATTCTGAGACTGGTGAAGGACAGTGTCAACCAGGTGATGGGCGAATTCGCCAGCATTTTGCATTCTAAGGTAGAACCTAAGGAACCAGTGAATATAAGGAAGGCATTTGTGGTGAAGTCTCAAGACACATCGAGAAAGGATGAGTGTATTGTTTGCCATAACATGCATCAATTGAGTGATTGTAATCGCTTTATCGCTATGTCACCCGTAGAAAGGTTAAAAATGGCAAAGCATAAGCGGCTGTGTTTCAGTTGTTTAAAGATTGGGCATACAAAGTGGAATTGTAAGGCGACAAATAAAAGAAGTAGTGGTTTAACGGATATGCACCCACTTCTGAGGACAGTGAACGAACCTGGGAATTCGGTTAACTGTAATAGTATCTCTAGACCCCTTGACACCCCACAAGTTTTCTTAGGGGTATTACCAGTTAAGGTGAAAGGACCGAAATCTTCAGTAGAGACTTATGCATTGTTGGATAATGGCTCAGTCGTTACTTTGATAATTGCTAAGCTGACTACTTGGGTATTGATGGCCCAATACAATCCTTGGTTCTTAATTTTTCACTTCTTCGAAAACGGTAGTATGTGAGCGAGTGTCATTTCAGTTAGAATCCTTTGCTACTGGGGAGACGGTGGAAGTGGATACTGCTTAGACTACCTCCAGTATGAAACTTGGCGAAGCTATAGTACCTAGTCGTGAAGCGGTTGTCGGTAAGCCATTCCTGTGTGACATACCTCTTCCAACATTGCAAGATGGAAGAGTGAGAGTACTCATTGGATGTAGTGTGCCAGAAGCTCACAAGTTATTAGAAGAGAGATTCGGAGGTAGAGATGATCTGTTCGCGACGAAAACACCACTGGGATGGACAGTGAGAGGACCTATACCCATAGTCCACATATCATCAATAGTTGCAAACGATGGGGACAAACTAGAATCTATGATTAAAAATATGTATGACAAGGAGTTTTGCGACTGCGGTGTCCCTGAGACGAGTCGTTCTGTAGAAGACTTAAAAGCAGTTAAAATAGCCGAGGAGTCTTGTAAACACGAAAACGGGCGTTTCAGCGTTGGCCTACCATGGAGATTCAAAGATAGACAGTTGGTTTGTAATAGGAAAGTTGCTTTTAAGAAACTAATGGGTTTACAGAAGAAATTTCTGTCAGTTGCAGAACTCTGGTCCAAATATAAAGATGTCGTCGATAAACATATAATGAAGGGTTACGTTGAAAGACTAGTTGATCAGAGTGAGCCAGGGAAGTGGTATTTGCCCCATCATCCCGCCTTTAACCCGAGGAAGCCAGGTAAACTCCGTGTGGTGTTTGATTGTTCTGCGAAACATGAAGGAGTCTCTTTAAATGATAATCTGTATAGTGGCCCAGATTGCGTGAGCTCATTAGTGGGACTGCTATTGAGATACAGAAAGTTTACAGTTGCTGTCGCGGCGGATATTGAGGAAATGTTCCTACAGGTGAAGGTGCCAGAGAGTGACAGAGATCACTTGAGGTTTTTGTGGTTTGATGACGGTTCTTGTGGTAAGGTGTCAGAATATAGGATGACAGTGCATCCATTTGGTGCCACGTCCTCCCCGTTTTGTGCTAATTTTTCTCTGCGAAAGGCAGTGTCCACATTTGGTTCTAATGATTTGCTGAACGTCATAGATTGTTGCTTCTACGTGGATGATTGTTTAGCCTCCTTCGATGATGATAAGTCTGCAGTTAGATTTGCAACAAGCATCACTGAAGTGTTAGCTAAGGCCGGCTTTCGTCTAACTAAGTGGGTCTCGAACAGCCTAGACGTTTTGAAGCATATAGATCCAGAAGACAGAGCACCTACCGTACGAGATTTGCCTGTTGATACTCTACCAGTTGAACGCACATTAGGTATGCGATGGGATGTGAACTCTGATACCTTTGGGTTTAGTGTTGGTGATATTGATAAGCCAGTTACTCGGAGAGGCGTGCTCTCTGTGTTGTCGTCCGTGTTTGACCCACTTGGATTAGTAGCACCTTATCTACTTCCGGCTAGGAGGTTATTCCAAGAGACATGCAGGAAAGGGTTACAGTGGGATGAACCATTAAGTGAGAGGCAGAGAGAAGAGTGGAAGGGGTGGGTTAACAGTTTATGAATGCTGAATCTACATTCCGTCTCACGTCCACTTAAGCCGTCGAGAAATCATGATATAATAGACTTCCATGTTTTTTCTGATGCCTCTGAGGTTGGATTTGGTGCAGCCGTATACATCAGAACCACCTTAAGGAATGATATAGATGTTAGCCTGGTGATGGGTAAATCTAGAGTTGCACCTCTAAAGACGGTTTCGATTCCGAGATTAGAACTTACTGCAGCCTTACTAGCTGCGCAGTTATTCACAACGGTGTGTAAAGAGTTGGATAACCCCAAGCATCCCGTAACTTTTTGGAGTGATTCGATGTCTGTGATATATTATATACGCAACAAGTCAGCAAGATATGCATGTTTTGTAGCTAACAGAGTATCTCAAATTCGTGAACTAACAACTGTTGAGCAGTGGAGGTACGTACCGTCTGGAAAAAATCCAGCTGATCTAGCCTTGCGAGGAGTTATTGATATGAATGTGGTTAAAAATAAGTGGTGGAAAGGTCCAGAGTTCTTGCTAAGGGCTGATAGTATGTGGCCTCGTAGAGAACCACCGATAAGCGGGTGTGTCTTGGAGTTTAAGACAAGTGTCAGTTTAACATCTACTCAAGAAAGACATTCAGGTTTACATCCACCTTTTAAATATTATTCTTCTTGGTACAAACTACTGAAAGCTGTTGCATGGTCGACACGATATGTTACGTATTTAAAGGTCATGCATCTTGCGGGATACGAAAATATGAATGTGAGGTTCTCTAAACCAACTTCACCAATTTTCGCGGAGGCATCAATACGACTGTCATCGTCTCATCGGTCGCTGTTCAGAAAGAAGAGTAAAACATCGTCAGAAGTAATATTTTGATTTATTATTGTATTATTTGTTCACAGACATTAGTCATACTTGATTTATATGTTGGTGTAACAATGCAGAATACTCCAGTCGCCAATTGGTGTTTTGGTTTTTGCGTCCGTTATTTCTAAGCGTTTCTGAGAAACTTCAAGTGACAGTGTGAGCCCGAGCTTAGCAAGAGCCGGGCATTAACGGTTTACGAGACGTGACTGACAACAGTTTTCTAATATCTCGCTCCAACATTCCACAACTTGTCCTCACCTCAACCGTCGTCACCAATCCATCACCACTACAGATTAGCCTTATTACCACTCCCAACGGCCATCTACCTGTGGCACATTTATCTGCTACTTCTAGTATGTCACCAACCTTTAATTTTCGGCAAAAATTTTTCCACTTGTCCCTGGTTTGCAGTGTTAGAACATACTATTTTAACCATCTTTTCCAAAATATATCTTTCATGTGCCTGGCTTGTTTCCATCTTTTAGTCGTAGGTATTCCTTCCCCGCTTGAGTCCTCTATGCCAGGGTTGCCTCTCAATAACAATAATTTATTTGGGGTTAACACATCAAAATCCTTGACGTCGTCCCTCACAGGTGATAACGGCCGGTCATTTAATATTCGTTCAGCTTCACAAAAAAATGTCTCCAGCGTTTCGTCATTCAAACTCTGGTTTTTAATTATGGAGCTTAAAATACGCTTGATAATTCCTATAAGTCTTTCCCATAGCCCGCCTCTATGGCTGGCATGTGGTGGGTTGAAGTGCCACTCGATGTTCGTTTTCAGTAACTCTTCATGAACTCTCGTTTGGGGACCTTCAAAGTACTCTTTAAGCTCGGTGTGACAGCCAACAAAATTAGTCCCTGTGTCACTGAACATCATCTTTGGTACACCCCGGCGATTTATAAATCTATGTAACGCTAGCACGAATGAATCAGTAGTTAGCGAATGAACCATCTCAATATGCACAGCTCTCATTTTCAAACAGGTGAATAAACAGCCATATCTTTTACATAGGGTTCTGCCTCTCTTCACTACCAAAGGTCCGCACAAATCCACCCCAACGCACTCGAATGCATAATTCCCTTCAGAAGCTTGCCACGCTGGGAGTGGTGCCATCATCTGCTGTACTGGACGAGCATTTCGGAGTTTGCATTCCATGTACTTATCAATTATTTTACGGACAGCGGTACCTCCCTTCACTATCCAGAACTTACATCGAATACTTGATAGTACTTGCGAAGTACCCAAATGACCTTCAAGAACATAGTAGTGTTGTCAATCACGTCTCATAAACCGTTAATGCCCAGCTCTCGCTACGCTCGGGCCCACGCTGTTCTTTGAAGATTTCAGAAACGCTTAGTTATAACGGACGAAAAAACCAAAACACCGATTGGCCGCTTGATATTTCTTTATTGTTACACCAACATATAAAAGGAATAAGTGAACTAAGTTTTCTGACGATGTTTCACTCTTCTTTCTGAACAGCGACCGATGAGACGATGACTGTCGTATTGATGCCTCCACGAAAATTGGGGAAGTTGATTTTAAGCAAACAACCAAGAATTGATCGTTCAATCTTCAACTCCATTGACAAGTGTCTTATAATGAGATCATTGACTGGATGGTAGTAAGGTAATAAAGCCGGATGACGGGTCTCATATGACGATTCTAACATTTGTAGACGTCCACCAACTCTAGCGATCCCTTCGGAAACTATCGGAGATAATCGATCTAACCGCACCTTGAAATCTGCAAAATCGGGACTATCCTCCTTGGCAATCTCACCCCACGCTTCCCACTGAGCAGCCCTCAAAATCGCTAACTCTGCATTTCTAATATCTTCGACTCTCAAAGGCCTCACATTCATATTTTCGTATCCCGCAAGATGCATGACCTTTAAATACGTAACATATCGTGTCGACCATGCAACAGCTTTCAGTAGTTTGTACCAAGAAGAATAATATTTAAAAGGTGGATGTAAACCTGAATGTCTTTCTTGAGTAGATGTTAAACTGACACTTGTCTTAAACTCCAAGACACACCCGCTTATCGGTGGTTCTCTACGAGGCCACATACTATCAGCCCTTAGCAAGAACTCTGGACCTTTCCACCACTTATTTTTAACCACATTCATATCAATAACTCCTCGCAAGGCTAGATCAGCTGGATTTTTTCCAGACGGTACGTACCTCCACTGCTCAACAGTTGTTAGTTCACGAATTTGAGATACTCTGTTAGCTACAAAACATGCATATCTTGCTGACTTGTTGCGTATATAATATATCACAGACATCGAATCAGTCCAAAAAGTTACGGGATGCTTGGGGTTATCCAACTCTTTACACACCGTTGTGAATAACTGCGCAGCTAGTAAGGCTGCAGTAAGTTCTAATCTCGGAATCGAAACCGTCTTTAGAGGTGCAACTCTAGATTTACCCATCACCAGGCTAACATCTATATCATTCCTTAAGGTGGTTCTGATGTATACGGCTGCACCAAATCCAACCTCAGAGGCATCAGAAAAAACATGGAAGTCTATTATATCATGATTTCTCGACGGCTTAAGTGGACGTGAGACGGAATGTAGATTCAGCATTCATAAACTGTTAACCCACCCCTTCCACTCTTCTCTCTGCCTCTCACTTAATGGTTCATCCCACTGTAACCCTTTCCTGCATGTCTCTTGGAATAACCTCCTAGCCGGAAGTAGATAAGGTGCTACTAATCCAAGTGGGTCAAACACGGACGACAACACAGAGAGCACGCCTCTCCGAGTAACTGGCTTATCAATATCACCAACACTAAACCCAAAGGTATCAGAGTTCACATCCCATCGCATACCTAATGTGCGTTCAACTGGTAGAGTATCAACAGGCAAATCTCGTACGGTAGGTGCTCTGTCTTCTGGATCTATATGCTTCAAAACGTCTAGGCTGTTCGAGACCCACTTAGTTAGACGAAAGCCGGCCTTAGCTAACACTTCAGTGATGCTTGTTGCAAATCTAACTGCAGACTTATCATCATCGAAGGAGGCTAAACAATCATCCACGTAGAAGCAACAATCTATGACGTTCAGCAAATCATTAGAACCAAATGTGGACACTGCCTTTCGTAGAGAAAAATTAGCACAAAACGGGGAGGACGTGGCACCAAATGGATGCACTGTCATCCTATATTCTGACACCTTACCACAAGAACCGTCATCAAACCACAAAAACCTCAAGTGATCTCTGTCACTCTCTGGCACCTTCACCTGTAGGAACATTTCCTCAATATCCGCCGCGACAGCAACTGTAAACTTTCTGTATCTCAATAGCAGTCCCACTAATGAGCTCACGCAATCTGGGCCACTATACAGATTATCATTTAAAGAGACTCCTTCATGTTTCGCAGAACAATCAAACACCACACGGAGTTTACCTGGCTTCCTCGGGTTAAAGGCGGGATGATGGGGCAAATACCACTTCCCTGGCTCACTCTGATCAACTAGTCTTTCAACGTAACCCTTCATTATATGTTTATCGACGACATCTTTATATTTGGACCAGAGTTCTGCATCTGACAGAAATTTCTTCTGTAAACCCATTAGTTTCTTAAAAGCAACTTTCCTATTACAAACCAACTGTCTATCTTTGAATCTCCATGGTAGGCCAACGCTGAAACGCCCGTTTTCGTATTTACAAGACTCCTCGGCTATTTTAACTGCTTTTAAGTCTTCTACAGAACGACTCGTCTCAGGGACACCGCAGTCGCAAAACTCCTTGTCATACATATTTTTAATCATAGTTTCTAGTTTGTCCCCATCGTTTGCAACTAATGATGATATGTGGACTATGGGTATAGGTCCTCTCACTGTCCATCCCAGTGGTGTTTTCGTCGCGAACAGATCATCTCTACCTCCGAATCTCTCTTCTAATACCTTGTGAGCTTCTGGCACACTACATCCAATGAGTACTCTCACTCTTCCATCTTGCAATGTTGGAAGAGGTATGTCACACAGGAATGGCTTACCGACAACCGTTTCACGACTAGGTACTATAGCTTCGCCAAGTTTCATACTGGAGGTAGTGTAAGCAGTATCCACTTCCACCGTCTCCCCAGTAGCAAAGGATTCTAACTGAAATGACACTCGCTCACATACTACCGTTTTCGAAGAAGTGAAAAATTAAGAACCAAGGATTGTATTGGGCCATCAATACCCAAGTAGTCAGCTTAGCAATTATCAAAGTAACGACTGAGCCATTATCCAACAATGCATAAGTCTCTACTGAAGATTTCGGTCCTTTCACCTTAACTGGTAATACCCCTAAGAAAACTTGTGGGGTGTCAAGGGGTCTAGAGATACTATTACAGTTAACCGAATTCCCAGGTTCGTTCACTGTCCTCAGAAGTGGGTGCATATCCGTTAAACCACTACTTCTTTTATTTGTCGCCTTACAATTCCACTTTGTATGCCCAATCTTTAAACAACTGAAACACAGCCGCTTCTGCTTTGCCATTTTTAACCTTTCTACGGGTGACATAGCGATAAAGCGATTACAATCACTCAATTGATGCATGTTATGGCAAACAATACACTCATCCTTTCTCGATGTGTCTTGAGACTTCACCACAAATGCCTTCCTTATATTCACTGGTTCCTTAGGTTCTACCTTAGAATGCAAAATGCTGGCGAATTCGCCCATCACCTGGTTGACACTGTCCTTCACCAGTCTCAGAATATCATCAAACCTTGGCTCGATACCCTCCTCCTCTATACGAGAGCTTATTTTTACCCACTTCCTTTGCAGCCGAGTAGATAGGCGTCTCGCAATCATTGATGACTAAAAGAGCCTCAGAGAGGTGGATATCGAGAAGGCTCCATGGTGTCTAGTAATGCATATAGACCTAGTAAGTGTAACAGGTTTCGTGGTACATCGTCAACAGATAAGTTGCAAGATGCAAGACAAACACGGTTGCGTTTTACACGTTTTCAAGAGGTGCATACAAAGGTGAGCTGTGAATCAGTGAGCAACTTTAGTGATTAACTAAGTGTGAAATCAAGGCCTGACTCCGAATTTTGTGACGATAATAGCGCGGTGAAGAAGCCTGTAGTTGAAATTAGTAAGCCATTGTTGAAAAGTATGCCACAGAAGAGAGTTACTGTTTCAGAGTCCAGTTCTGACCCCATAAGTTTACAAGGTATTACTAGTCAGAGTGAAGGTATAAAATCTTTAGGGATTTGTGAGGAGGAACCGAAATCATCCACTGCTGTTATTAAAGAGTTTGAAAATGATGAAGTCGGCCAGATAGACGGCGTTTAAGTGAATATATGTGATAATGATCATGATAGTGCAGATTTGCCTTTGGTTGATCATGATGAAATGAGGGATATGCCTACTACTGCCAAGTTGAATAAAGGTTCTGTAGAACTTGAACGTGAAGTAGAAATAAATGCAGGTGCAGTTGCAGAAGGCATGCGTACTTGTGAGACCGTCAGTGTGATTGGTCAGCATGTAGCCCACCTATCATCAGATGCTAGTGCTAAACCCGAACTGGTAGTGAAAGACAGCAGTGGTGGTAATCTTGCAGTTAGACAAATTTCTGAAAGCCGAGCAACAACAGCTTCTGATCCACCGCTAAGTTCATCAACTGGTATCAATCAGTCGTCGTTGGTGTTGTCATCCACAATGAGAAGGACGCCCATCAACACAAGTATCTTGTGCAATGACTATGATAGCATTAATGAGTTTGAAAAGACGAAAGATATTGCTCAGTTTAGTGAGGATGAGCAAAGTGTAAACGAGAGAGTAATTGTTAAATTGACTTGCACGAATAAAGGAATTTCTGGTTTCAAGTTACTATTTGAATGTTATTATCTTTGGTGTAAATTACTCTGTTTTTACACTTGTTTGATGAGATATGTCGTGTGTTTGTTCGTCATCTATATTCTACGATACAATGACATGAGCGTGTTACCGTTCAGATTTGAGGATATAGCTGATAGAAGGAAGTCAGCAAATGAACTCTGCGACGATTTTTCAACCTAGAGCGTCAACCTGAGAAGG